CTAGCATGAGACACAAGGATCAGCAGAAGATTGTACACTGAGAGCTTTCCAAGAAGTGGACAAGGTTTTCCTGAAGGCGCCTATGATTTGCCTGGTGAAGTAGGAGCCTTGGTCCCTGGAGCGCACAGAAGACGCGCCCCAAGGGGGATAGCCATTTTCAACACTGTCTTTGCCCTAGTGAGGGCATCAGCCTCTCAGCAGGGAAAGGCTTTAACCCTTCCAGAAAATGTACAAACAGTAACAAGCGCATGTTAACAAGCCACAGTAAGTGGTAGCACGTAAAGTGAAGCTGCAGGTGTTCAAAGTGTCCCCAGGGAGGAGGTCTGAAGCTTCTGGAGACAAAAACAATTTTTCCAGGGTTACGGGCCTGACAGGTTAGACATTGACAGTAAACAGTTTTGTTTTATTATAGAAGTCTTTCAACTGATGTCTATTTATAATTTGAATAATCTTAAATGCCCTGATTCAGAAGCAGACTGCTGCCATGTTATAAGAACATCAGGATAGCAAACGTCTGGCAATGAGGGGCCATTTTTTTTGTGGAACCAGAATGGACTTTAACTACATGTGCCACAATCTTACAAACACAACATAAAGAACATCTAGTATGAATTTTTATTTGACAATGATTCCTGGTAATTTAGCTTATCAAATATACCCAATTAGTTTAGCAAATCCTTTGGAATGTTCCCAGTTAATGAGACTAAGAAGACCAAAACTCCAAAGAAAAGAAACAGACCCACAAAACCCTTTGTCCTTTTGACATAAAGAAAAGCAAATCTAATGCTGCACCTGCTTATTTTTGATTTGAAAATTCTTCATTCCAATTTTAGTCCTGACCACACATAACTTTCCTTTTCAAACATCCCCCCTTTCTTTCTTCTTTTCTTTTCTTTTCTTTTCTCTTTTCTTTCCTTTTCTTTCCTTTCCCTTTCTTTCCTTTCTTTTCCTTTCCTTTTTTTTCTTCCTTCTTTCTTTCCTTCCTTCCTTCCTTCCTTCCTTTCTTTTTTTCTTTCTTTTTGAGAGAGAGAGAATGAGCAGGAGATAGGCAAAGAGAGAGAGAGAGAGAGAGAGAGAGAGAGAGAGAGAAAGAGAATCTCAAGAAGGCAGCACACCCAGCACAGAGCCAGTTGCCATGCCTGACATGGGGCTCAATCCCAAGACCGTGAGATCGTGACCTGGGCCAAAATCAAGAGTCAGATGCTTAACCAACTGAGCCACCCAGGCGCTCCCAATCATCCCATTTTTACAAATCTTTACAAGTTTCTCTTTTAAATTCAGAATTTGTCCTGAGTTTACCCTCTTTAGATGACTGGCCTTGCCTTAGGACAAAGTCCTTTTTTATACCTCAAAAAATACATTTCCCTTCCTCATACATTTTCTTACTAAAAACACACATTTTACTTTCCTTGCATTCAGAGTTGTTTCCGTTATTATTTTCAGTGGTCTTAATTACATTTATTAAAATTCTGAACTCTTACAAACTTTCATTTTTAATGAAAGCTAATATGTAAGCAATTGTGAACTGTTAACCAGCATTCTTAGATTGGCAAATTAATGTACACATTTCAAAAGTTCTAGAAATGTGTATTTCTTCATAAAACAGTCTTCCAGTAAAGCACAAAATACATTTACGAATAGGTCCATGTATATTTTCAGTTTCTCTGCAATAAGGAAACCAAAAGTTGGTAAACCTATGTTCATTAACTAATAATTTAGCATTTTCTCTTACTTGGAAATGATCTAGATAAGATCTAGATATTTAATGAATGTAATTTACTTTTACACTTGAGCCAACACTGTAAAATTTGAAGGATTTAGTTTACCAAAAAGATTTGGGAAACTATTTAAAAATATATTTAACATTTTTCATTTTTAAAATGAAATACATATTTTTAAAATATCTATTCAATTTACTGGTTCTTAGCACTTTTGCTGAAATTACCCATAAAAACTTTATGAGACAACGAAGTCTGTCATTCTCTCAACCTATTTTCTTTAATATTTTGTAAGAGATCAACTCTACTTATGTAAACCAAGGCACGTGAAATAATTTAATTTTAGCGCTGCTAATTCTGAAGACATGTCTATTTTACTTAAACCAACAACTGGATATTTGCCCAGATCATATGAAGTTCAAACGCATTTGGGTTAGTTTTTATCTTTCTGAGACACCATCCGGAGAGGAAAAGATCTCACATTGATGACGTATATTTATGGACACACAGATCACTGCAAAGACCTTAGAGTCACTGGCGTTTATGGAGAAAATGTTAAGATTTGTATTTGTCCCTGGAATTTTTTGTAATGTTTATTTTTTTTATTTGGAGAGAGAGCAGAGAAGGCGCAGAGAGAGAGGGGGAGACTGAGAATCCCAAACAGGGTCCGTGCAGTCAGCACGGAGCCGGATGCAGAGTTCGATCCCAAGAACCATGACATGACCTGAGCCAAAATCAAGAGTCTGACACTTAACTGACTGAACCACCCAGGTGCCTCCCTGGAATTACGAAGGACACTGAGCCAGGGTTTAGGCACAAGAACCCTTTAGCAGTTTGTATTTTTTTTTAAGGCCTCTTTCCCTTAGTTTCCCTCAGTCCCAAGAATTTGTGGGCTGTGTTTACTTTTTTTTTTTTAATTTTTTTTTCAATGTTTATTTATATTTGGGACAGAGAGAGACAGAGCATGAACGGGGGAGGGGCAGAGAGAGAGGGAGACACAGAATCGGAAACAGGCTCCAGGCTCCGAGCCATCAGCCCAGAGCCTGACGCGGGGCTCGAACTCACGGACCGCGAGATCGTGACCTGGCTGAAGTCGGACGCTTAACCGACTGCGCCACCCAGGCGCCCCAGTGGGCTGTGTTTACTTTTCAAAGATGCGACAAGATAGATCACTTTGAGGACAGAGGAAGAATGCAGGTTCCTCCAAGAAGGACTTTGCTTTCCTAAAATCAATCATCTATAAGCCTTTTTCTGGAACTAGGAGAAGTTTGGGGGTGGGTGAAGGGACAGGGGAGCTCTGAATTCAGCTGCGTTTCTAGTTCTGTTCACATTTGTCAGGACAGCTGCTCTCAATGTCTCAAAACTTGGATTTTCGTGAAATGACAACATAGTTTGATCCAACCTATCCAAGCACATGAGCCTCAATTTGCTTCCTTCCCTCTGGGTGCACAGTTTTAAGTATTTCTGGCAGACGGAATAACCCCCCTTGGGTGTAAGATGAATATTATCTAAGGATATTACCCTCCCCAGATCCAGGATCACCGACAATGACAGCCAGAGGAAGGGAACCCACAGCCGCACATCCCAGGCAGGCAGAGAGCTAAGAGCAGTGATTCAGGATGACGCCAGCAAGGAGGCAACGGCTGTCTCTGGGAGAGGAAGGATCCATAAGCAACGGGTGTGGATTTGGAAAGGGTGGGACAATAGGAAATTTTGTTATCCTCTCCGGACCAGGCATGTGGGCAGAGATTCAGAAGGAGAACTGATTCTGCTAAGACTTCCCGCCCTTTCCTGGTTCTGCCAGTTTTCCCAGGACCCTTCAGCAGACCTTGGTATTTATCAGAATTTCCACTCGGCTCTTTAAGGGAATTAGTGTAACAGTGTGTCAGAAAGTCACCCAGTTTCTCAACTCTGGGAGGGCCTCATTTGGGGACCCTCCTCTGAAGGTAGATACGGGGGTGTCCGTAAGGCCATTAATATGACTGAGTAGTCTTTTCGGAGAGGAAAGCCAATTCACGCTTGAATGACTGCTCAAGGGAGCAAAGAGCAGAGGAGGAATTAGGTCAGTCTGACAGCTTTTTGTTTTAGTACCTCTTCTGTCTTTAATTTCTCACTAGCCTTCTCCAAAGAATGTTTCATTGAAACCACCTTGGAATTTTAAATCTTTTAGAGGCTTCTGCTTGCTCATTAACAGAAGTGTCCTATTTTATTTAATTTGAGAAATTTTGCTTTTAAATGTAGTTCTTACATGATCTTATCCCTAATTGGAAAATTCCCCGCTATCGTATTTCTAGACTGTAATTGCCCTGAGGGCTGGCAGCAGATCCATAGGACCCTAGCCTTGAATGGAGTTAACCCACACTTCAGTCCAGCCGTATGTCTGCACAAGTGAGGTGTAGCTACATTTCTGTCTGGCTTTGTTTTGGGGTCTCCAACTTATGGTTATCAAGCTAGTTCCTCAGGACACAAGGCAAGCTTAGTAAGATTTTGCCATTTTTGCTAGACATCTGTAACTTCTGGGACTACAGTTTTTAGACATAAAATAAGCGGGTATACAGGAAGGTGCTTGCACTTGACCCTTTAGCATGTAAGGATCCCAATAGCTAAGACTTTGGGCTTCTCAGAGCAGAACTAATACCCAAAAGTGATGTGTCCTGGAATTGGGGATTCCACGTGTTTTAAAGTATAGCTCTTTGCACAGAAATTTTCTTGAGGTGGATGGGTGAACTGGTGCCAGTCCAATCTATTCCCTGACCAAGTTATACTATCAAGGGCATGTTCTTGAGGTGGTGAACATTCTAATAGTCTTTAATTGCCTCACGGTCTTTTTTTGTCTAACAGTCCTTATTGTGCCCATCAATTTTGTGGGTTTTTCAGTCTCTGATCCCTGTCAGCAGTAGCCTTTATCTATAAGAAGCAAGAAAAATAATTATGTGTACCTTAGCGTATGCACAGTAACCAAGAGATGTCACTGGCTTCTGGCCACAAGAAGACTCTTTGTACACCATCAATAATTCTCCTGGAAACTTGCGGAAGTTTCCATCCAAGAAACTGTGGTCAGAAAGTTTGGGGCCTTGGCTCTGGACAGATCCTACCTGCCAGTTCACTTGGGCTCTGGGCAAACATGCCAGTTCAAGTGGGGTCCAGACAAAAAGGCCAGCTCAACTGGGCTCTGACAGTAACCCTCTGCCAGCCCAAGCTGACCCACATTGTAAAGGAAAGCCAATTAGATCAGGAGTCTGAATGCAAAGAGATTGAATCTCAGAACCAACAGGAACTCACCTACAGCCCTTAAAAATGATGAGGAGGACAGTGAACTCAAGGGGCTCACAGTTACCTCCCCTGGCTGTCTCCTTGTCTCTGATCGCCCCTGGAAGTCCATTTCAGATCCCATCACCGACACCAAATCTGTTAAATAACAAAAATTCAACCAAGTAAATGTTAAAGAGCTAATGGCTGTATTAATCAATTTATGAATCAGGCAGCATCTGATCTAGCAAGTAGAGGGGAGCTCCAAAGGACCACAGGGAATAGAAGATTTTAACAATAGCGCAGGGAGTGCAGAAAAGGAAAATATTAGCAAGGAATCCATTTTTCTAGGCAATGTAACTCTCCTAAGGGGGAAAGGGGTCAACTGGGAACCTTCATAGTGCTGACCAGGAAATTCCCATATTCACTGATTAAATGTTACTGCTCTGGGGGTTGAGATTGCACTTGGGTTAGGTATGAAGTCTTGTTTTAGTGATTTGGGGCCTTAGGTTAAGTGTTACCATTTGGGGTCTGTGGTTTTCTTTTCAACAGACCCAAGAAGATGAAGACTGACTTCAGAAATTGAGACTCGTATACAGAAAGCTCTTCACATGTCCTGTTATGTGCTTGTTACCCACTGCTGAAAAAGTGCCTGCCTAACCACAGGGAAAGCACAAACTGGTTCCTTTCTGGGGCTCTGGTCTGTCATGTCCATGCTCAGGACTTGACTTCTGAGTCTACAGAGTTACTGGATCACAGCTGGGCCAGAGCACATTCAACTCTGCCCACACTGTCTAAATATGTCCAGCTTCTGGAAAATGGGACTCCTTTGAGATACCATGACTGGATCACGAGTGACCCTGGATATTCACTTTAATGTAGTGGTCCTCCTGGGGACAGTGGTCCGTCCCGCCTCCCTCCCAGGCCTGGTGCACGCTCGGACGGCAGGAAGTGTTTGCTGGGCAGCATTTCCCAGTGGTAGAAATACATCCATTGTGGACAATGGGAGAATGTTTGTACGCGTTAGCTTCACCCAATCTTACTTTCCAAGTTTCACCTAATGGTGGGATATAAAATTCAAATCTAAAAATCCCAAGACCATACTAAAACCTCAGCAGCCAAATTACTATTATTTGTTGAGCTGCGATCTGGCTTTGTCAAATGAGCAGCATTTTGTCACCTATAACTCACGTTTCTGGGTTATACTTTGAGTAGATCAGATTGAAGTGAGAGGGACTTTGACTACTGAGTAGAACGTTCCTGAAAGATGTATAATTGTTCTTATTTACTTATCAAGTAAGATTATCTAAAGTGGACTTTCCTTTTGAGTATTTATGGTGGGCAATGTTGTTAGGTAGTTTCATGTGTACTGTTTCATTTAATCCATAGAGTGATCCTCAGAAACATCATTATGACCTTCATATTTCAGATGATGAAAGTGAGGCAAGAAAGGCTAAGTGAATTTTTCTTTTTCTTTGTATGTTCCAAAGCCCATACTATTTTAATTCTATGGGGTAATAGTGAAATATTTGTGCCTCCGTTAAAGGCAACACTATTAAAGAAACATTTCTTTTTGTTTATTTCCCATTAAGACTTGACAGAAAAGGTGGGCTATTCTCATTTTAAAAAGGGGGTTCTGGGAGGTTATATTCATGTTTATATGTACGTACCTTTGTCTATTGAAGGAAAAAGAATCTCTTGATCAACCCCTCCTTTATTACTATCATGTTTGACAACACATTTGTGTTCTTTACCCATTGACTCTTCACTCACGGTCAGCCAGGTGTATTTCATATATTTGTCCTTAGTTTTCATGGTGTTTCCCTGCTGGGATTCCAGAATTGTTTTGCCATTCTTTTCTTTCCAATATATCTCGATAACACCAGGGAAAAAGTCCTCAAGAAGACAAAGATATGTTCCAGTCTTATGGAGTTTTCTTTCAGCAATTGAAGGAAGAAAAATTGTAGGCTTTGGGGAAATGTTCTCAACAGGACGTTCATCTGTGGAGGAAAATGGAATAGCAACGAAAACTATTATTAGAGAAATGCAAACATTGCGTGGTTTGGAAGCAGCCCTGAACAGAGTATAAGGAAAGGAAAGTTGCCATAGGATTAGTGCTTACCAGGGCTTTTCATCCACAATGGGTTATGAGGTACTTATTTTCTTACTTTCCTTGGGAAAAGAGGTTCAAGCAGTCATGTAACTTGCCCAAAGTCGTAACTACTAAGTGGCATAGCCTGGTTTAAAACTTGGAATTTTTTAAAAACAATACACTGTCATTTGTTTGAATGAGAATCCATTTTCGTGCATACTTCACAGTCTATCAAGTTGAACTTTTAGCTTCAAATCAGATCCCATACCCGCTTCTGATACTGAAGTTCTTCTCCTTGATTTCTGATTTTGTAGATCATCTTGCTCTTACGTTTGAACCAATCCAAGATTTTGAGTAGGACAGTGTTTAAAGCTGCACTACCAAATTATTTACAGTGCCTTGAATTTAGAAACAGTGTGGCACTATTCCCAAAACTTCTATTAAATAATTATTATTTTCAGAAATGGTCTTATACTAACCTTATCAAGTAATGTGATGGTCTCGATTTTGTTTTGCTTTAGAAAATGTTCACTAAAGGCACATTTTATATTGGAATTTCATTAGAAGTTGACACATGACTAAAAAGACACCATACTTCAATGCTTAGCATCTACCCCAAATTTGGATCTGTCCTACAAACCTGCTGAACTTGTCATACCCACAATTTTCTTTGATTTCACCTGCTGAATACAGTTATATGTGACTGGTGTAATGTTAACAGATTATGGTTCCAGAGTTTCCTGCAGACATGATGTCAAAACATATAACAAAACATCATAGTTCTCAAGGGCATATCTAGCCCATCTCCCACCCACCTCCCTCCATCAACTTGCATTTTGTTCTCTATCATTGAGTCTTTTGTGGTTTGTTTCCCTCTTTCTCTACCCCCTTCCCATATGTTCATCTGTTTTGTTTCTTAAATTCCACATATGCATGAAATCATATGGTATTTGTCTTCTTCTGATTGACTTATTTCGCTTAGCAGAATATATTCTAGTTCCATCCACTTCATTGCAAATGGAAAGATTTCATTGTTTTTGATGGCTGAGTGA